AATATCCATGTAGGCATGTCAGATGATCGATCAAAATATATTTTACAAAAATCCACGTTTATACAAATATTCCAACAAATCCGCGTTTATACTCGGATGGTACCTAAGTAAATGTTCTACAAAATTCAAGTTTCTTAAGAAAATGTTCCCAAAAATAAGTTTGTACAACCGCTAGTCCTTGATAAATTTGTCCTTAAAAACCTACATAATTTGATTTAATTTGTATGTAAAAACAGTTTTAATATACTTCTCTGTATTGTGGTAAAATTGTTCTTTACTGCAGAGAAATTAATTAACTTGTGTTATTTTGTTGTTGCAATTAACCTCATTAATTATATCGGGATTATCAAGGTCATTGACTTTTATTAACTACCAACACCTATACCTCAAATTTCATACATAAAGCCCCATTCATCCCCGTTTCCTAAACAACTGCATTCACATTAAACACGCCTAAAAGTATGCTTTAAAATATATAACCGACCACAACTGTTGTGGTAACCAAAAAGATACGTTAATTTTTTTGTTCCGTTTCCTCTCACACTTGCTCGCATAGCAACTCATACTCATACATATTGTATGGGAATGGTAAATATTTTATATTGCAGTAAAAAAAGACGACGACAACAACAACAACAACAAATTTATACATTTTAGTGCATAAAAAAGGGATTGTTGTTTGGCTGCTGCTGTTGGCTGCTCACTTGGAATTATGTGAAATATTTCGCACACACACAAACCCGAAAATATTTTTGATACGTAGAATACAAAGTGAAGGAATGCTGGTGAAGAGAGCAAGAGATAGACTTCAGCAAAGCGTAAATATTTTAAAATGCAGACGAAGAATACAAAATTCATTTCTGCCAGACAAACTTGCATTCAAATTGGGTTTTTTTGTTTGTTTAACTTTATATATTTTATTTAGACAATGGTGGCGTCAGGTGTCCTACGTTTTAGAAAAGGGGTTTCCCGCTTGGATGTTTATTGTTATGTCAAGGATTTTTTTTCAAAAATTTAAATTTTAGAATTTAGACTTACTCTTTTGGAGGTAGACTTACTCTTTGGCAATAAGAGTTAGACATACATGTGGATTTTTCCGAATTACCATTTTACCTATAAAATTATAATTTTTAGGTTCTGAAAGAATAGTTTCTTAATCCTACATTTTTAAAAGTACTTTCCTTAAACATAGTTTATGGATTTTCAAGAATACTTCGATTTAGCTTGACATTAGATATTTTAAGAATAATTTTGAAGGATCAGTAAAGTTTAAGGGCCAATTGATTTTAAGAAGCCAATTTAATTATTAGAAAATTTGTATATTAAGTTTGTCATTCCGTTCGTAACATCTCGAAATATACATTTTAGACACACAAAGTATATATATTGTTGATCATCATAAAATTCTATGTCGATTTAGCAACGTCCGTTCGTCTTCTGTGGAAATCACTGTAGCTTCCGAAGAAAATTAATTAGGTTGATAAAATTTTACTCAAATGTCTATTATGTCTGCAGGACTTTTGGTATTGAAAATGGGTCATGTAGGTCCACGTTGTGGTATAGCCCCCATATAGTGGTACCTTCCCTTGGAATTGTTTCAAATTTGGTATTTGAAGTTCGTAATTAATACTACAGCCTAAGACAGAAAATTGTCTGTGCAGGTCCACGCCTTGGTTTAATGACAAAATGGTTTATGACCAAAGTTGCCTATGCAGGCCCATGTCTTCGTATAGACCCTAATATAACGGCTTCATTCGATTGTTTAAGTCTTCACACACCCTTTTTAGAATCCTCCAAAAAAAACTACGATTGTTTTAGTATTTTCCTGTTTTTAGCATTCTGGAACAGTCCTTAAACCCGCCTTAACCATTATCCATGTTACAGGAGAGCCATAACACATTTTAGACTAAGCGTTTGTAAAAATCTGCCATGCTGACATTACACACACATATACATATTTACATGCGGACACATTTAGCAGACATGGTGTTGAGTGGTATAGTGTGTAAATTGTCACATATACATTTACAGCTTTCCGCCACTACCAAACCACATTACATTTGCCGCTTTGTTGTTGCGACGGGTTTTTTGTTGTGGTGCAATTATGGTCAGGCAGAAGTATGAGTAAAATACACAGGATCCATATATACACTCTTAAATGGCTATGAATATGACTGCTGCTGCTTACCGCTCCCTGCCACCACCTTAAGCTTGTACTATTTGCCAGTAAATATGAGATTTTTTTTTGTTTTTGCAAAGGTGTGCTGTTTGTTGTCATCCACGTCATATGAATACCACTCACATCCAGAGCTGGAGTTTAGCAGGAGCATTATAAAAGAACATATGAATGCTAAACTGTGAGAATAAATAATTTTATATTACACCAAAAATATGTGCGTGTGTGAGTGTTTTGTATTACGATGTAGACGATTATTATTTAGCTACAGAAATAGAATTTTTAGCATGGTGACAACTATGTGTATGTATGCGTGAAAGTGGAAAACGAAACGAAAACGATGTAATAAAATAGTAATGTTGTGATGAGAGTGCGAGGCAAGAGTTTAATGCGGTGCGATACATATGAAGCATGTAATATTAGGTGCGAATGTTAATATTCTAGGGGATTTGAGACTTTCTGCAAGAAATAGAAATTTAGGAGGTAATGTTTTTTTGCCATGTCAAATGATTTTTGATTAGTTTCGAGAAAGACCTTTTAAAGATTATTTTCTTTGTGGTGGATTTTTAAACCGAGAACATTTATTGAAAATCCTTACACATTTCAAAAATTCATCAAATGGTTAATAAAGACAAGTTTAAGCAAATTTTTGAAAATTGATTCCAAGGAATTATAGAGGCATAATCTTAATTTTTTTTTGGAAATTTTTTTTTTTTTAATATTTTTTAATCCTTGAATTATAAATACTTTATTTGAATTATAAATGTTATATTAAGAAATACTTAAAAAAAATGAAATTTTTAAATTTGAAAAAAATAGATATAATCGCCTATTTTAGACATATTTTTTCATCTTGAGTTGTAACGTCTATATGTTTGAAAGGCCAACGGAGCCACAGTTCTGGTTTTTTTCAAGGAACCAACAATATTTGAGGAACCAATAACGTTTTTAAAATTATTTATGATGGTCAAGCGGAACTATAATCATAGATTCTAAAAAAAAAAAAAAAAAAATACTGAAAGGGCTAATTCTGATTTTTTATACCCTCCATCGAGGTATGGAGGGTATATTAAGTTTTGTCAATCCGTTTGCAACACTTCGAAATATACATTTTAGCCCACACAAAGTATATATATTCTTGATCAGCATAAAATTCTATGTCGATTTAACGATGTTCGTCCATCTGTTTGTCTGTCCATCTATCAATCTAGCTTCCAAAGGAATTGAAGTGGGATGATATAATTTTACTTAAATGTGTGTTTGGTCAGAAGGACTTTTGGTATAGAAAATGGTCTATATGGGTCCACGCTTAGGTATAGCCCCCATGTAACTATACCTCCCTATATTCGGTATTTTGATGATTTTAGCGACAGTATTTACCGGAATTAATTCAAGTTTCGTATTTAAAGTTCGGAATTGGTACTACAGCCTAAAATTGGCTATGCAGGTCCAGGTCTTCATATAGCCCCTATATATTCGATATTTTGACGATTTTATTCTATATTTTGATTATTTTAGAGACATTGTTCACCGAAATGGTTTTTAATAGAATTATTTTTTTGAAATTTCCAAATAGTGGAGGGTACTTGGCCGGGCTTAACATATTATATTGTTTAGTATTTATTTATTTTTTTGTTTTTTAAGGACAATCTGATTTTTCGTCTTGGATTGTTAAGGGATATTTATGAATAGCCAACAGAATTTTTAAGAATACTTATAGCAGAATACTATATAGCATCGACTATAAATAAGTTTTTATGGACCTATATTTCTACAATTATGAACATTTTTGAAGGACCAACAACCAAAAGTGAATATGTTTTTTAGGTGCCGTCGACCTATACTTGAGGGTTTTTTTTAGAATATTTTTGTAGATTTTGTAGGTCTCATAATGGACCTACCCAGCGATAATCCTGCATATTCTAAGAACAATTTTAGTATAATTTTCAATAATATTTTTTGAAGGACTCTGATGACTATAATTTTGGATTTTTTTTTTTTTTTGGAATATTTTTTACGAACCAACATAATCATAAGAATATATTTTGAACGACCAACAGAGCTTCAATTGTGGGTTTATTAAGAGTATTTGAAAAATGAACAAGAGAGTTATAATCGTATTTTTGTTTTTATTATTTTTTTTTTTTTATAAAAATAATAATTGTGTTTTTTTTTTGTGGAAAGATGTGGAATGAAAGCCATAATATGGTCCTTTGAGTACAAATGTTTGAAGGACCATCAAAGCAATAGTGTTATTGTGTCATTTTGTTATTGTAAAAATGTCGATTTTTCAATATATTTTTTTTAAGAATAACTAAAGCCACACTTTGTTTTTTTTATTATTTTCGATGATTAGTTTTTACATTTTTAAGATGTATTCCATTAAGGACTTCTAAAATTTCTAGCGGCCATTTCAGTTTTGTGTTGCATCGCTATATTTTCCTAAAAAAATTCCCCATGGAACATCCCATATGCACGTGAACATAATGTGATTTTGGTTCGCTCAGCTGTGGGTTTTTTTCTGAACGACTGGTAGCAGCAGAGTTCTCAGGTGCTTTTAATTAATTTTTTTTCTGTTCAAGTGTTTAAAAGCGTAAAATGAAATTAAAACTCTGAATGGAAAAATCGACAACAATAGAGAAAAATTGTTGTTTAGAGGTTTTTTCGTCGCGCTCTCTCTTTCTGCAGTCGTCACAATTTATGAACCACTTGTTCCTCTACCTTAAATTAAGAAGTGGTTGTTTGAATTAAGCTCACACTCACGCACATGGCCAAATTGTTCATACATACAACACACACACATTTTATAACGGAAATTACTTACGAGACGGAAAAGACGTTTTTCACAAGTACCTGTAATTTAAAAAAAAAAGAAGAAGGAGAGGAATGAGAAAAAAACGTTTAAAGGTGAAAAGAAATTTAAGTCGTAAATTTTAATAAATATTTAAAATTTTTTATGGAAAATTATTTTAGAGATAAAATGTTTGATTGTGCCACTCAATTGTTGAACCTCTTCGATATAAAAATAAAAAATATTTAACCGTGTTTTTTATTACCAGAAAAGTGTTTTTCACTGGTTTTCACTTAGTCTAATAAATCACAAGTGAAAACTACTCTGTTCGTTAAGCTATAACATTTTGTAGTACTTTTTTAAGCAATTAAAGGCTTTCGATTTTAATGTGTGAGTTTTTTTAACTTTGTATAATTTTTCATGCAATTTTTTTCGGTTTCCTAATTCAATTTATTCTCTTATATTATTCTCCTTTAAATTTCTTAGACCTCACTCCTTTAAAATTTTTCACTTTTATCTCAAAAATATATGCAAATTATTTATTAACAATTTTCTACATGATATTAAGCAAACTTTTTCAACATTAGCATTATGTGCATATTAAATAATTCACATGAAATTTTCAAAAAGTTCTTAAAACAAATTTTGTAATTTTCTTTTCAAGTATTAATAATATCATATGCTAATATCATCATTATTTTTATTTTCTTTCACCCACATCAATGCCAAAAATGAAAATTTTCTTTATTATAAATTAAATAGATTATGTCTGTAGAGATTACATTTCATAAAATTTGTTTTTCGAAAATTTTCAAATGAAATTATTTATTTTTATGGCAAAGTGTAGACACACACACAAGGATTACATTAAAATTCAATTACGAATTGTTTTGTAACAACACACACACGCATTAATGTGGGCTACACAATGTAAAATTGTCGATATGCGGTTGTGTGTGTGTCTAAACACACATACAATTAAATAAATTTACAAAAAAAAAAAAAAAAAAAATCATGAATCAAATAGGCTTCTGGCGTTTGAAGACCTTCAAAGGGGGCTACAAAATACCTAGAAAAGGGATTCTGTGTTAACTAACCTTTAAAGGGATCCCGGTCTATAAAATACCTTTGAAAGAACACTTGTCTAAAAATTGGAAAATATGGCCAAGACCGTTGAAATAAATAAAATCATGATCTTAAAATAAGGGCCATACCAAAACGTGAAATAGAGATAATACAAAATGGCCATAGACAAATATAGAGATCGACAAAATACCAAAATTGGAAAATATAGCCGGAAACGTTAATAATACCTGAATTCGTGGTTTACCCCTTTGTAGGGACTATATCAAAAAGTGGACTGACCAATATTTTAAACCAATGTTTCTAGAAGTAATCCAAAGCCCTTTATTAAAATGCAAAGTTCTACATACAATTTTGGGGGGGAACCTTTGTGTATAGTTAAGGCTGTATATAGGCCTAAAAAACCGAATACTACAAAATCCAATTTTTCACAATACAGACTGACTGCTGGATAGTGAATACATGAGAAAAATTGCAGCAAATACGGAAAGAGTGCTAAATTTTTCGAAAAAATTATAAATTTTATATACCAAAATGGATGAGATTTTCTTAGGATACATATTACGTATACAAGTTTCCTTTGTTCGGAGACTCATAACGAAATTTGATCTAGAATATTTCTTTCTTTGGTACAGTTCCCATAAAATTTAGTATGATGTAAGATTTTGACTCTGAATGAAAACGTCTTCAACTAGCACCAAAGAAGCGGAATCACATAATTTTCAATATTAATATATAAATTTCGAATGTAATTTTCTTTAAAACTGATACACCTACATACAAAGTTTATTCTAAAACTTATAGTGAAATTTTGTGTAGAAAATTTTCTCTTTTGACAATTGATGACTAAAGCGAAGTTTTATGTTACTTTCATTTACCGCAAATAAAGACCAATGAAAATGCGAAAACAAGAAAAAAAATACAGGATGAGATAAAAAAACTGCAACAAAGTTAAACGCCATAATTGTTACATTTTTTTTTTTTAATTTTATTGAATGGAAACAAAAAATATCTGAAATAGCATCAAATTTTAGAATAAATTTAGATTTGTTCGAAGTGGTCACTTTTGCCACGAATTATGGCCTTCAAATGGCCAATGAAACCGTCACACGTTGCCCGAATATTGCTCTGCGGTATTTTGGGCCATTGCCGGCGAAGCGCTTGATTGAGGTGATCGACAATTTGATATTTTTTAGTGCCAACCTTGCTTTCCAAAATACTCAGACACAATAGTCCGGAGATTTTAGTGGTCATTGTGCGCTGGAAATGAAGCGAGGAACCTCATTTTTGTTTGTTTACAAACTGCTGAACAACAAATGTTTTCTCATCAGAGAAAACCAAATTCGCAGTTCACCACTTTCGGCCAAGCGAAGGAACTCTTCAGCTCTTTTGAGTCTATTTTCTCTCTGTTGCGGTGTAAGTTCTTGTACTTTTTGGAATTGCAATGGCTTTACCCAGAGCTCATTTTTCAATATTTGCCGAATGGAATATTGCAGTTTCGTTGCATTGCTGACGTTTCAAACGCCAATACACCTATTTTCTATTTTTGCTCTAATTTCTTAATCTTCTGGACTTTTTTTCTCGGTAGTTATTTTTTGTATTGCCCTCTGTTATTAATAAATTACTACATTGTGTATAATTCTTCCAAAAATAAACCAAATACAAAATGTAAATTTTGTATCACAAATACACATGTATACATAACATACATACATATATTTTTGTTATCTTTGATATCTGTGCATATACATTGCATAAGAAATTACATTTTCATTTTGAAAATCATAATTATGTTCTTATTTGCTGTTATATTGTGTAGGATGGATGTCATGACCCACAAAAGCCAAGCAAGAAGTGCGGATGATGATGACCGACCGACCATATGGACGATACAATATTGAAATATAAGGATTTCTACATTTCCCCCGTAATGTTAGGACATATTTGTTGCAAAATATAATTCTTGGGCAAATGTTCTACTTATTTAACGATAAATTAATTAAGTATAAATAGTAAACAAGAACAAGAGATATGTGAAGATAGCATTCATTCTCAAAATGTAATCAAACTGGAGCATGATATTTCTACAAACAAAAGGTTGGTTGGTCAGGACTTGTGATTCCGGTGAAATTGTCTTTTGCATCCATATGTGTACGATTTCCCAGGATCCCAAATGTTGTGTGGTATTGTATTTATATTTTAATATTTAATATACTTGGGGGATTTCACAAATATATATTTCAGCAAATTATAACCATAATGTGGTTTATGATAACTTTGAGGTTAGGAATCAACGAAAAGAAGATTGTGGCTTCATGGGAGTAGAAATGACAGATTTGATTTTGAAAATTGAAGACAAAAGCTGGGAGATTTTTTAAATTTTGTATGAAAGAGTATTTTGGTTTTAAACCTTAATTTGTAATGTGAATTAACTTCTGACGACTGCCATTATCTATAACATTTTATTTGTGAGCCCATTATGCCTTGCCGAAATATTTACATTTAAGAATCCTAATTATTTTATTTCCCAAATTGTCCCCACATTGTCCATGGACGAGACATGATCTATGAATTAACAAAAATGTTAACTAACATATCTTTATTGTCATTTAGAGATAGAGAAGGAAGAGCTTTATTTAATTCCTTAAAATTTTCCTCATTCGAATTATAATTATTTAGCCACACACATTGTATTTTATTATTATTATTGTGTACAATCAGAAACATGACACCACAAGTGCTGGTCCATTATGTGCGGATCGCTGGCTGGCTGGCTGGTTGTATGTCTGCATTTGAAAAATTTGTACTTTCTCATGAAATATATTTTAATTTGCTTCTCTCATTTGAACTATTGTCCAATGTGAGATTATGTTATTTTTGTGGGTATTCTCTCCCACATTTGTCTCTAATTTGTGTGTGCGTGTGGTCGTCAAAAACAATAACATTCTAATTACATATTTTAATGTCATTTAATAAATATATGTATATACATAGACATGTACACAGGGTGAGATGAAAAAACTGCAACCAAAATTCAGACTACTGCCATTTCTAAGCTTCACGTTCGACAGCTCTTAAAATTATTCCAGTGACAGCTCATTATATTGTTTACAAGCGTACAAAAGCATTTTGGTGAGAATTTTCCAGAAATAAAGTTATTCGTGATGGAATTTAAGGGTGATAGTCTGATTTCTTTATATTTGGCTGGGAAAACCACAAGTAGCTATCGTTAGAGCACTCCAGCATTTAAATGTGAATAAATCTTTTGTGTCTCGTATTATCACTCGTTACCCGTGATACAGGTAGCGTAGTCCGACGTCAAGGAACTGGACGGAAGAAAACAGCAACAACAGCAGAAATGGTTCGAAAAGTAAAGAAGCGACTTGATCGAAACTCGCGTTGCAGTGGCCGCAAAAATGACTCGTGAGCTGAACATATCGCAATATTCCATTCGGCAAATATTGAAAAATGAGCTCGGGGTACAGCCATTGAAATTCCAAAAAGTGCAAGAACTTACACCGCAACAGAAAGAAAATAGACTCAAAAGAGCTAAAGAGTTGCTTCGCTTGGCCGAAAGTGGTGAACTGCCGAATTTGAGTTTCTCCGATGAGAAAACATTCGTTGTCCCGAAAGGAGGTCACCTGAAAATGTGCACCTTCGGTTGCCCACCAGAACTCAAGCGCCGGCCATGGTGATAGTGTGGGCCGCCATAATAGCCGATGATCGTTCTCCGCTCGTATTAATCGACCGTGGCATCAGAATAAATGCCGAATATTATAGCAAAAATATTCTGGGTGTATTAAAGCCTTGGGCAAGCAATTTTGGACGCAGGCCTTGGACATTCCAACAGTACTTAGCACTAAAGGACTCAGCACGCGCCACCCAAGAATGGTTACAAAATGAGGTTCCTTGCTTCATTTCCAGCGCACAATGGCCACCAAAATCTCCGGATACCAATCCGTTGGACTATTGTGTCTGG